TTTTCATCATATCATCTCATTACATTGCAACAATCAGTGAATATTCGAAACCTCGCCTCATTTTAATGGATCTGAGTTATTCTATTTTATATTGATCCAGCAAATGGATCAACTTTAGTTTATTCATGAATTCATTGAGTAACGTCTCTAGAAGGCCCACTTTTTCATCTATGTGTATATCTAACAATCTTTACTCCTAAGTTCTGATCCACTTGCCTGTCTGGAACTTCATCAGAATGTAACGGTAGCAGTAATGGGGTATACCATTAGTTCAAATGAAACCATATGGAGTCCAAGGGTATTTAACGTTACACCTCCATGTTGACCCCATAAAACAAGTTCATAGGTTTAACATTATCGAACAGTTTGGCTCAACAATAAAGTCAATGTTGCAAAACATCTATATAATTATCATTTTGAGTAAATCTGGGTATTGATCAATATCCGCACCTATTGACTAACACCCAAATCGACTGACTAACACCCATACATATAGACCCACGCGTACTCACCAGTATACGGTTTTACAGCTCAGCACCCACGTCTAATTACCAACACCCACACCCACTGAACACCAAACAATATTATACAGTATTCCCTCAACTACTGACCAGTAAATTGTTTGAATGCCCAGCACCTACTCCTACTGACCAATATACGATCTTACTCACTAACAGTCACATCTACCGATCAATACACACTCTTCAGAGTCTCGAAAAGCATTGCTAAATGGTATTAAAATGTTTTGATCCTCACAGGGAAAGAGCTATCTGGTTAGTCTTCAAAACCACAACTGCTCTTGCGATAAAAGCTAAAATATATTGTATGTCTATCCAGATAAAGGACGTTGGTCTTCATAATGTACACATCGTCAAACACAGCAACCTCTGATTAAAAGAAGGAAAACATTTGTCAAGAGACAAATGCCAAGACAAATATTTTTTCATTTATCTTCAAAGCATTGTCCACACGAATGGAACGTGAAGACAGAGGTACATAAGGAAAGGATGTTTCAATGAGAAAGGAAGAAGCAGAAGAACACATTCCCTCTATAAAAGTAAAAAAGCATGACACTTATAAAAATTGGAATTTTGTGACGTGTTTGAAAATATTTTATTGTGATTAATATTGGTACATATACCAAGCGCAAGTAAAAAAAAACTATTCCTAATTTTATTATTATTATTATTAATAATAATTTATTATTATTATTATTATTATTATTATTATTATTATTATTATTATTATTATTATTATTATTATTATTATTATTATTATTATTATTTATTATTATTATTATTATTATTATTATTATTATTATTATTATTATTATTATTATTATTATTATTATTATTATTATTATTATTATTATTATTATCACTATTATTATTATCACTATTATTATTATTTTTATGGTAATATTATTATTTATATATTTATATGGCATACACACAGAGACATATATGTGTGTATATATATATATATATATATATATATATATATATATATATATATATATATATATATATATATATATATATTTATATATATATAGTAAGAGAGAGAGAACTCAAAACACACACACACATATATATATATATATATATATATATATATATATATACATATACATATATATATATATATATATATATATATATATGTATATGTATATGTATTGGGAAATGAAAGGGTTGTACATCTATATCTGACTAATCATTGCTTTTATAAAAGTCTGCAAAAATCATGTATTCAGCTGTATCAGTAAAACTATTCCCCTAGTCCAATCCAACCGTACATGTTGTCGTCCTCGTATTTGTTGTACTTGCCGCAGCTGATTATGATTGTTTGGTTTTGTTATGAGGGCACGACAGATGTATTTCTCAATAATTTTGTTAAGGATACTCTGCATACTACTCTTATCTCTTTAAGCTCATCTTTGACCTAATAATGTAAGAATGTGTATTGATAATCATCAAATACACATATCATGTACCTTACCCATTTTCTTTGTATAAATAATGGCATTGGATTGTATTTATGTGTGCTAGTGACCATTACATATCTCCACTTTCCATCGTTTAGATTGTATTTGCCTTGTTTGATAGGGACGGTCTTTAGGTTTTAGCCCTCATCGCTCAAGACGTCGCATCAAACGAGTTTAGCATGTGTGTACATTCTAGACTTTTGTTAACCCACAAGAGCTCTTTTCACCGAGGTTTCCAGAAGCTAAAATTCTACTTATCAAGCAAGAAAATATTTTTTTAGCTTTTCATTGTTTCAAGTTTTAAAATATATTTGTTGTAAAATGCTATTCAAACATTAGCAATGAAAAAATCTTGTAAAATAAAAGTAATATTTTACATTTTTTAAAATTATATTGACCTTTTTCATTCTTTCTGATTTGTAAATTTGTAATTTGTTTTACAATCTTGCGTCAGTATTCTGTATGTTTTGCTTTAATTTCACAAATTTGGTATTACATTTAGTCTAATCCATTTTTAAATTGGTCGCTTATTTTTTTCTCCCCATTAAATTCAGCGTTAGTCCAAAAATGCTTGTGCTACTATAGTCTTTGCCATATCCATTTAGATTTTGAGACTTTGTTTTAGTCATCTGTAACTTTCGAGTCAGTTTCAGACTTTTACGCTACTCCTAGTCTAAGTCATAATTTTTAATATATTATTAAAATAAGTTTATAAATATAGTGTTATGATTTGGTTTATAATCTCCATCAAATTGCTTGAAAGTTTCGTAATTTTAGCATTACTGTTATCCACTATCATTATATTGTTATTATTGGCTGGTTCTCTTAATGACAGTTCTTTATTAGATCAGTACAATATATGAAAATTTACCGACACATCGACCATAATTTAAGATATTTAAGTTTTGTACATATAGGTACTAGATAGCATTCAGTCCAAAGTCTTTCCTTCCTATGTTTTTAAAAAAGGGTGACTTTTGGGTGCTGATAATGAGTAATTGTCTGTCCATAGTTAGGTATTGATCCTCTTTTCTTTACCACTTGCTTTACATGCTACTTTACACATTGAGGTGTAGTTACAGATTCTGGTCAATAGGTGTAGGTGCTGATCAGTAAGAAGCTGTATTATTCGGTTGGTGTAAGCAAATTTTTCTATCGTTCACTGTAGGAAACCTTGAGTTGGAGACGTGCATGATTAATTAGATTTATGGAGATATGCGAGTGTTGAAATCGCCATAATGCACTGATTGGTACAGGTTCTGTCATGAATTTGCAATTTTTTTAAATTATGGATACATTTATATAAACTGAAGTGGATAGAGGTCAATTCTGATCTGTGTCGAAAATTGTCATTTCTGAAGATTATCATGAATTAGTTGGGTAATTTATGTTGTGTGATAAATTGCATTGTTTTGAGGCTAATTCAAGCGGGAGTTATATTTCATACTGATTGGATACAGTGGGGAGTGATTTCACACGAAAAGTCTGTTTAAATGTGCGAATCTTACAAATGGAAATTAGTCTACGTTTTTCTACAAGAGAAAACGTACGTAAAAAGACTGAATAACTTAAGAAGTAAATTCACTCTTGAAATCATCCAGTCGATTGTCTGGAGATATTGACAGACAAAAAGCTTGAAAGCACAAGATATTTTGCATCAATTTTAGGTAATTCATTGTTACTGTTGTGATGATTTGTTTGATTTATTTGCTATTGCCTGGATTTATTTGTTTAAATTCGTAGATCAATTTTCTTGATATGGTATAAATGTGTTAAGTTCGTTTATCTGAGTCCGCACAATTATATTTTTCTTTATATATACAGTGACGGCTCATTGAAGGAATAGTCTCTATTATTATAGGAAATTATGTATCTACAATTTCATGCCTTGTATATATATATATATATATATATATATATATATATATATATATATATATATATAAAAATATATATATATATATATATATATATATATATATATATATATATATAGATGCAATAAACTGACGACGAACAGTACGAAACTAGTAACTAACTAGCCTAAGCGCTTTCGACTCTTAATGAGTCTTTTTCAAAGGCAAATACAAAACATAGTTACGACAAACAAATAAACACAAAAACGTTGCGTTTGTAAACCTCTACATTTCTATCTTCACATGTGCTAAAACTATAAATACAACCAGCTTGTATAGACTAGTTGCGGAAACTGAAAACGTTGTATAATTCCCTAAAAGTCTACAAGCCAAAGCGACATCTATTTTTACTTTGTGTACATATGTAACGCAGATTATATCACGGATATTTGGTTCTATACCGGTTATTCTTATAGTAAAAATTGAAGGATAAGAAGATTTAGAAAATGTTAAATTCTACTAGTGCATAGTTTTCATTTTCTAGTCTTCTTGGTTTAGACCGCTTGGTCTCAATGTTCTAAGGCGGCGTATCCAGTATGTTTCATTTTCCTTCCTGGTTTCGGAACTCCAGCTGTGGTTGTTGGCAATAGCGATAAGTATTATATCACTGAAAGTGTGGCCAGGGGAGGAGAAGTGTTCTGCGACCGGGCTTCTGTACAGCTTTTTTGTCATCCAATCAGATCTATGAAGGTTTATCCTTATAAGACCATTCATTGGTCGATAGGTATGGATGTCAGGTTAGTGGGTGAAGATATCGGTCAGTAGATATCTGTGCTTATACCCAGAGGATCCCAAGCTATTAATTAAAGGTACGTTTTTATAGCATTAACCTTAGCCCTGTGACCCTATACTGCCAAAAGTTTTCAATCTGTGGATTTCCTTTATGGGTCCAAATAAGACGCGTACTATTCCTAATTTATCATTTGACCCTATTGACTTCATTATACTAGCATGACCATGTGACCCTATACTGCCAAAGTTTTCAATCTGTGGATTTCCTTTATGGGTCCAAATAAGACGCGTACTATTCCTAATTTATCATTTGACCTTATTGACTTCATTATACTAGCATGACCTTTATTTAATCAAGGATAACCGCTCCTATAGCCTAGTGGTTAGAACATCCGCCTCGGATGCGGAAGGTCGTGGGTTCGATCCCCAGTTTAGTCGTACCAAAGACTTAACAAAAATGGCACTAACAGCTGCCTCGTTTGATGCTAGTTAGAATTAGGACTGGTCGGCCTGGTGTCAGGGTAATGTAACTTGGTGGAATATCATGCTCCATATCTGCGGCATTATGTCCCAATGCTAGACATCACTATAAACAACCACTCTGCAGACATCGTAGCGAAATGACTAAAAAATTAAAGCTACGTTAAAAATCATAATCACACAATCGCATTTAGAAAAGATCTGACTACACATATTACACATATGGAATAATGGTGTCCCATTTAAAACATGATGTAATTCAAAGGTTATGATATATATATATATATATATATATATATATATATATATATATATATATATATATATATATATATAAAGAATACAAATCATATGGCGAATAACAACCCTCTCAATCGTACTGGATCCACCAAGGAATCACGTTTCGTCAGTTTATTGCATCTATATATATATATAGATATATATATATATATATATATATATATATATATATATATATATATATATATATATATATATATATATATATATATATATATATATATATAATCTCTCGGAACATATTTTGAATTTAAGCAAGTAAGGTAAAGGTTTTAAGTGTTAATAGAGCCAGTGTAATCTAATTGACACACTAGATGGAGTAGAAACAGATTATGGTAGGGAGTGTTTTATTTGTATCGTCCATAAATTCATTGCCTGATGTATTCTGTTTATGATATAAGTAGCCTCTTTGTGTCATCTATGGTGCGTAATATATGAGTCGGAAGTTTTAGGGGTTCAACAATGCCAGTTGCCAATTTACTATTAAAGTTATTGAATATCATTGCTGAGAAAGTTACAAGTCTGGTGTTCCATAGTTGCTTTGTGACGATTCTGGTAATCCACTCTATGGTAACATTTCTGATCTATATTTCTCAATCTGAATTCAGAATTTTGGAAGTCTGGAACAATGGTCTCCTTTGACTAAATGTCGCTTCCTCCGTTTGAATACCTTATATTTATATCATTTCAATTGCATTTCAAGGTTTTTGGTGCATTATAATAGGCATTGTCCTTAAGTTACACATTAATCCTTTTGGTGCAATAACAACACAGTTTCCGCTAATAATTTTCATTTTAAAAGACTAGGCTTTTGGCTGTATGCCTCGATATATTGCGTACTTAAGTTACACATTAATCCTTTGATGCAATAACAACACAGTTTCCGCTAATAATTTTCATTTTAAAAGACTAGGATTTTGGCTGTATGCCTCGATATATTACGTACTTATGTTACCCATTAATCCTTTGGTGCAATAACAACACAGTTTCCGCTAATAATTTTCATTTTAAAAAACGAGGCTTTTGGCTGTATGCCTCGATATATTGCGTACTTAAGTTACACATTAATCCTTGGGTGCAATAACAACACAGTTTCCGCTAATAATTTTCATTTTAAAAGACTAGGCTTTTGGCTGTATGCCTCGATATATTGCGTAGGGATTAAAGTCAATTATCTTTTGGACACACGCAGCCATACATAAACAACTGCGACAATTTCTCGGCTGTGATTAGCATTAATTTCCAATCAAATCGACTGTTCATCGTGTTATGATTTGTTTTGACGCGAATAACATGGGCAATATCCCAAAGCAATAAATATCTGCCTGAAATTGAATCCATTTACAACCACAGACCCTAAAAATATGACCATTGAACTGCAGTTGCGTTCTTTGTAAAGGATACGTACTGCTATTTATCTGTAAAAGCCACCTTCGAAAACCTGATCTTATTGTGAAATTTAAAGACTTTGCATTCCGCTTTATTTAAATATAATAACCAGCTGAATTGGTTAGAAAATAAAGCATCGTGAATCTTTTCGGCATTGTGGAGAATAATAAAAATTACGTAGGTCATCAATTTAACCATCTTCTGTCTATATTTATAGCAGAACAAGATTTTTCATATGCAGGGTAATGATGAGAAAGATATTGAGACGACAATGTTGTTATTATCGTTGCTGCTGATGACGATCTCCCTAGCAGATGACGATCTCTAGCAGCTTACTTCAATCCTCGATACAAAAATATCACATATTTCTGAATGTACCCAAACTATTCCGTTATGATGCTTCTGTGAAGTGGATTTAACTGGAAAAAATTAATTTTCGAGTATCCATTTTTTTCAGTATAAGTTAACAAACATTGCTGCGTGCATTTCACATCAAGGACCATCTAATCTTTGAAAAAGTTACAAAGAGGGCATTTCCACTGTTAATGAACAAATGTATATATATATATATATATATATATATATATATATATATATATATATATATATATATATATATATATATATATATATCCATGTTAATTACTTCTGTCATTTTCTTTCCCCAACTGTTACTTTGTACAATCCCTGTTTTCTTCAAATGCCATATTTTGTAAGGATTTTGGTATAGCTAGGTCTGGAGAGGAGTTAATTTTAACTTGTCTTGATTATCTACGTACGCTAATGTATGTTTCGGTCTTTTTGTAGTGGATGATTGAGAGAGCTTGTGATGATTAATTAGTTCGATGCAACACAAAAAAAGATTCCAAATTTTAAGAGCTTAGGATGCTCTGGAATGTTTCAAGAGACGAACACTCTAACTGAAACATTTTCAATGAGTTTGTAACAATGTGCTGTTTGAGTTTTGTTCCAGTAATGATCGTGTCTCTCTGCATACTAACACCTACATAAATTATGTTGTGAAGATAATGTTATTTCCCAATATTTATACAATCACCTTGTTTTAGATATTTGCCTCAACGTTTTAACTGAACAAGAAATATAACAATTTGTAAAGAAATAAAAAATATTTTAACCAAAATATATTTAAACATTACACAATTTAAAAATCCTGGCCAGGTTTACACTCAAATATGGGAGGAATTGAAAGAGAAAGTTACGCTATGTTATGTCCCCATATCTTGCTCACAAAAGTTATCTATAAACAAAGTTGTTCATAAACATAAGAATTGTAAATTGCAAACCATATAAATGAGAGTTTAGGATGTCATTAAAATTTAATATAAAAAATAAATTTTGCTCGGATTTGACATTTAATGTCAGGTAAATGATAATTAAAGTGCCAGATCTTTTGTATTTGCAACACCTTATTGACATAGTTTCTGAAAGGTTTTACTATGAAAAACATTGAGATGATTGGACACTATGCACAAAGTTATCTATTATGCATATTATCCTATTAAAAGAAATATATTTTTGTTCATTTCTAATTCTTCTTTAGCTATGGCCTGAATCATAAATTTCCTGATCAAGTAAGATATTTTGGCAGACGTACTAAATACAATAAATACATTGAACCGATTAATACGATTTGTTCTTGCACCGGGAAATGAATATTTACATCGAAACAATTTATAAAAATTCAGCTTCGTTGTTGTTGGTTACATACAATTAAAAATCTTACTGACACCAAAATGCAAAGTATGAAATTCTATAACTCAAGTACCCAACATATAAGCAAACATGAAATGGAAAACAGCGTAAAGGAAGATATCGTCTTTCCAGGGATTGCTAATTTAGGAAGCAGATAAATTTCGGAAACTCGAGAGAATACTTACATTCTGTAAGAATTTGGCGATTAAACATTTAAATGTTTATCATTAAATATATAGATTTTAGCGCCTTTAATAAAAGACGTTTCCAATCAAGATATGTGCAGCAGAATCTATTAAAACCAGGACTAGAAGAATGATAGCAGAAAATAGAGATAAACACTATGCCGTTGTTAATAAACAAAATAAAGACAAGCAAGGTACAGATTGTACACATGTGATTATTTGCTATGTAATTAATTTAAGTCAATGATGACAGCGGCGGTGAACCAAATAAACAAGGTTTGTCGTAGACGTACTTCTGCGGCACCAGCAAATAAAATGAAACTTTAGTTCACTACAAATAATGTCACAAAGCCATAAAGTCTAAATAAACTGATTTCATGAATTGATATAAACATATTACGATTTTAACATGAAAACAACAATAACTAAAATAATTAGTTATTTGATAACTAAAGAAAATGATAATTTATTTATAAGTTTGAACGCGACAAAAGTGTATCAAAATTTGGCTATTGAGGAATAATATATAATAGAAATAATTGGTGTGTTTGTATTATACACAAGAATCTGTTAAAAGGATCGCTTGGAAGTAATGCAGATTTACAAATTATGTATAATGACGATCACTTTGAAATAAACAGCATTATCTCAGATAGCCAGATGTGTAAAACTGTAGAGTATGGCGACAGAATAACTTATTGTATGTACCGGCTGCTGGTAAATACCGAAATATTTAGTTGATTAAATGTTCAGTAAGATCTGGATGTCTCATAAACATTACAAAAGTCAGTTTGTTACGATTCAAGAAAACATATATGGCAGTTAAAGATTTTTAACAACATACAGTGACTTACTATACCAGGTATCTGTGCCAGCAATATGAATATAATAATTTTACCAAAAGCTGAAACTTGCAAAGTATAGAAATAAATGGATACGTTTTAAATGGTCGTTATGGTAACACATGAGGATTATTTTTTTCACGCATAAAGTATTTTCTGGAAAGATTCATTTCCATTGGCATCACATCCAAAGCATTCCTTCCAGTTATTTGCACAAATATCAATCAATATGGGCAATATATATATATATATATATATATATGTATATATATATATATATACACATATATATACATATATATACATATATATATACATATATATATATACATATATATATATATACATATACATATATATATACATATATATACATATACATATATATATGTATATATGTATATGCATATATATATGTATATATATATATATATATATACATATATATATATACATATACATATATATATACATATACATATATATATACATATATATATACATATATATATACATATATATATATATATA